CCCAGCACGGACCCTTGAGGAACACCACTTGTAACTGGTTTCCATCTGGACTTTGAGCCATTGAGTACTACCCTCTGGATGCGACCATCTAGCCAGTTCCTTATCCACTGAACAGTCCACCCATCAAATCCGTACCCCTCCAATTTGGCAATCAGGATGTTGTGGGGGACCGTGTCAAAGGCCTTACAGAAATCCAGATAGATCACATCCATAGGTTGCCCCTTGTCTACTGACCAAGTCACTTTATCATAGAAGGCCACTAGGTTAGTCAGGCAGGACCTGCCCCTAGTAAAGCCATGTTGGGTGTCCTGGATCACCTCCCTGTCCTTCATGTGCCCAAGCATGGCATCTAGGAGGATCTGTTCCATGATCTTCCCAGGCACGGAGGTGAGTTAACCTCAGCTAACGTGTGAGATAATGGTGGGGCACATTATCTCCTCAGCTCCGTTGCTGCATGACCTGCCTGCAGCTTGCTGCCCGGTGAAGGGATCTGAGATCTTCAGCCCAAAGAGCACTCTGCAACGTGCTAACGACCAAAATGACTCTCACCATTACATTAGTCGATGGTAATTTTTAATCTCTCTTTTTCCGCAGCATCGGTGAGGAAGAGAGCGGAGGATGAAGATGAGATGAAGCAGCTGGCTGCCTGGGCTTCCTGAGAGCACGGTCTTTTTGTAACACTGAACCTTAGAGCTCTAATGCTGTTTTATAACCCTACTGATTTCCTGTGATTGCACCTCATCCAGGCGGGTTTTTTTGCTTTTGTTTTATGGCTAATCTTGGTAAGAATAGTGTAACTGCCATATTGCAAAACTAGTTTAAAAACAAACAAACAAAAAAATGGAATAGATACCAAAACCTCCAAGCATCAAAGTTGTTTTTTTTTTTTTATTTTTCAGCCTTGGCCAGAGATTTGTTTTGTTATTAGTAGCAGTTTTTATTAGGTAATGTCTTATTGTGTCTTGCTGGTTTGTAAAACCCTTGTGCCTCACTTATGCACACGGCTGGGTTTATTGTTGAAATGAAGAAGTTCCCTAAGTCATCAAAGCCCTGTCCTAGGGGGTTATTTGGTTCAGGCTATTTGAATATTAGCAAAACAGCTTTTTACATGTCCTGACTTGCAAGTTCCTTGGAGCCCAAGAGCTAATAGCAGTTCATTTGGGCATGGAGATTTAGACAGTCTGTCTGGAGCAACTTCTGGTGTCCTAGATGTTAAGAGGAGACTCTTCTGTAGGTTTTTTGAAGTGGGATAGGTTTTTTTGGCTTGTTTTAAACTTCGGCCAGAATATCCCTTGCACATCTGTAGCTCAACTTGAATTGTAGTTTGAACCATTTCCTACTCAGTTAAAGAACAGTTTTACAGTGATTGGGGAAAATGAAATGTCCAAGATGTTATAGATCCCAGCCAAACAAAACTGATTTCTGCTCACCCTGTCAAAAATCCAGAGGGATTTGACCTTCCCGTGTTCTTCTCCACCACGTCTTTCTAGGGTGAGTCTTTACTTTGCATCATAATACCCATACTCAAAAGAGTTAGTAACACATTTTTCTAATTCTACGATCTCTAAATAATTTTAGTTTCTGAGCACTGGGTCCTTTTCTCTTATTCAGTTTCTGAAGAGAAATAAAACCAGCATGTTGTATTTGAAATGCCTTTCTAAGCCTGGTTAAAAGATGATTCTGAATTACTTGTAAAGTTCGATGTGTTATTGTCCAACTGATGCCTCTTTGGCTTAAGGAACAAATGCCACTCTGGGTGCTAAACTACTACACATAGAGATACGCTGTTCAAATACAACCCCAAAATTGAATAGGCTGCTTTGTACTAACATGTTTTTATTAAATAAGATGTAAGCTCTCTGCTAGTAGCCTGCTGTCCATCACAAGGAAATAGCAAAACACTGGAGTAACTAGGGATATGGGAAGCAGAGTCATGTTGATCTAGGTTTCTCATTTTCAAATGGATTTAAGTTTACGGATGATTGAACCACTAGGGGAATAGCAGGAGACTTGAATTCCATAGATCTCTAGCAACAGAAGACTGATGCCTTCTCCTGTGGACTTCAGCCCGTGATGTGCTGGGTGTTTGGCTTTGATGGGCTACAATAGGCTTCGGCTTCTTGGATTTTAGGTTAAGCATAAGTTAATGTGTGTTTCTGGAGACAGCCTGCTCAGAGAGTTTCAAGTTGGGTTCCGTGGATGACACCCCAAATTTACAAACCCTGTGGAGAGATTCAGTTTTTTCAGGACTTTTTCATTCTCTGTAGTGAAGCTGCTTTTGGTTTGCATCCATACGAAAGGAGAATCAAGCCTTGCCACTTGGCTTCAGATAAAGCTCCTACAGGAAAAAATTGTGTTAATTCTGTCTCAAAGTTTGGAGGTACCAGAAAAATTGTCCCTTTCTGTTGGGAGCAGAGAAAACCTGGAACTATTCAATTTGTGTTTTAAAATCCCCCCCAAATTAAAGAACTGCCTTAAATTTGAAAATACATTCTGAACTCTCAGCAGGAAAACAAACGCTAAAAATCTGTTACTGGGTTTTAAGGCTTGCTGAAATTCAGGATGAGGTGCCAGCTGAAAGCAGGTGTATTTAGTAAAATGACAAATATTCTGAGTTAGTTGGAATCCATTTGCTAATCCATTTGGCCGGAATCCTGTTTGCAAGGTCTGCAGTTCCACGCAAGTCTCTGAATTGGGTAGGGAAGGTCTTAGTGTACACTGATGGCATCACCATGCGAGGCTGGCCACGTGCTGGAGGACTCATCTGGTGCTTCTAAATGAAAGACCATGTCACCATAGTCCCGTGCTTGGCTTGGAACAGGTGCCTTCTAGTATCTCTTCTTGGGTGAATGAGTAGTTTTCCAATACTTGGCGCTTACGCAGCACTTGGCATATCCAAAGTGTTCTACAACCTCACTCAAGTTGGTCTCTAAGCCTCCAGGTTGAAACTAAAGCGATTTTCAGTCTGTTTTGGAAGATGTGGACTTAGTATTTCTGTGCAAGAACTTTGCCTGTGAACACCCTGCGGGGAAGAAGAAATCCTAAGGAAGGTTTTTTTCCTTTGCAAGCTCGTGTCCGACTGCTGACCTCCAGCAATGGTTTTGGCCAAGTGTTGATCATGGAAATCTTCAGGTGTCTTCAACGTGTTGGCTTCAGACTAGGTACTTCAGGAACAAAATTCCTGAAGGGTGGAGAAGCAGCTGTGGTTGGTTGGGTGAGCTTCTGGAAAAGCTTGCGTGTAGTGGCCGATGGCTCTGGAGGAGAGAGTCCCATAGCAGTTCACAGGCTAGGACATGGGTGCTTGGTGAAGCTCTACGTAGAGGTACGATAGACCAAAGTACAGTATGGACCTCCAGACCTGGAGTGCTTGTTGCCGGGTTTGTTTGGAGGACAGCAGATGACTGGTTTTCTTCAAAAGCAAAGGTGTTCCAGGGCTTTAATTTGGTGAGGAGGTGGCTTTTTCCTGTGTAAATTCGGATGACATAGGGACAAAGGGCTCTTCTGTACTTTATTTTTTTTTTGACCATATGTCTCTCTTCAGGCCAAGATGGTATTTGTTTAGTATGTGAGCAGACAGGAGTGAATAGTGTCAGCGTGTTATTGTGAATTTACTCTCGATTAACTGGAACACATTTCCCAAGAGGGCTGGGGAAGCAGGTGGGGTGACTTCCTTTCTTGTTTCTTATGTATTTTGCAAACATTCTCTTCTCTTAACAGCCTTAGACATTTTTAATCTGGATAGCTTTAAAAGGGGGAAAATCTATTTATAAAAAGTGAAAAGAATGGCTATGTGCATGTGCTGTAAATAAATATTTCGGTGTCATATTTGTCCTATATAATTGTATTAAATTTATTTTCCTAACAGGCAAAACTGTTAAGTGCTCTCTTTACACTGTCATTAGGATTCAGTGCTATTTAGAGGATATAAATAAAGATATTTTGAAACATTTTTTGATCAATTAGTCTTCCAACATCTGGAATTCTTCAAAGTTTTTTTGGTTTAAAAAAAAAAAAAAAAAAAAAAAAAAAAAAAATCAGTGTATGCTGTGGTGTTTGGGCTGCATTCCTTTGCACTTAACAGTCGTGTTGCAGAAGATTCTTTTATTTTAATGTGTCCAAAATACCTACTTTTTCAGCCCACCTCCCAAAGATTTCTTTGATGTTTTGGAAATGTGTGCGTTTCATTTCCCAGGCTTTAGGTGAGAGGAAGAATGGCTAGGTCTTTTAAACATGATGAAGAAAAAATACTATAGGCAAGGATGAATTATAACAAATAAAATAATGCATTTTTTCATGCACTATATTAGAAGCCCCTTAAAGTAAGCGTGTCTGTACATTTAAACAGAGTTATGAAGTGTTGGAGCAGTGATTTAAGACCATCATTCATTTATGGTCTGGAAAGGGTCCAGTTGCTTGGGCAGCTCCTCTTTGCCTCTTTGTAAAGCCTAAAATTGCATCACCAAGTGTGGAGGAGAGGAACTGTTGTGGTGCAGGCTGTGTGTCCGGCTGGTGGGGAAGCTGGGGGGGGGAAGAAGAGGATGGGTATGTATGGGGAATGTTTCCAATGAGAAAATCTCCCCATTTTACGTGATGTAGAGCCTATATTATTTTAATGACGTCCTTGTTTAGAAACATGAGGAAGCGTAAGGAGACATGGACTGTGGGATTGAGGGCACTCTCAGCAAGTTTGGTGATGACACCAAGCTGGGTGGTGTGGTTGCCCCGCTAGAGGGAAGAGATGCCATCCAGAGGGACCTGGACAGGCTGGAGGAGTGTTGCATGAAGTTCGACCAGGCCAAGTGCAGGGTCCTGCACCTGGGACACGGCAATCCCAGGCACAAATACTGGTCGGGCAGAGAATGGCACGGGCAACGGGCACAAGCTGGACCATGGGAAGTTCCACTCCAATGTGAGGAAGAACTTGTTTGGGGTGAGGGTGGCAGAGCCCTGGCAGAGGCTGCCCAGGGAGGGTGTGGAGTCCCCTTCTCTGGAGATCTTCAAGCCTCGCCTGGATGCTCCTGAGTGATGTGCTCTGGGCAACCCTGCTTTGGCCGGGGGGTTGGACTGGATGGGCTCTAGAGGTCCCTTTGGATGATCTCTAGAGGTCCCTTCCAACTCCAACAATTCCCTGATTCCATAAAATGCCTGAATCAACATGGTCACAACTGTTCATCACTGGCTGTGCAAGGACCAGCATTCACACAGGCTAAGACACACAGTGCCTTCTAGCACCTGCAGTAAAATGTTTCAGGACAGCACAGGAATCACAACAGATTATTCACAATATTCAAATTCAAGATTTTCCCATGCATACCATGCATATTCTTTAACATCTCTGTTGGAGACATGGGCAGTGGGACTGAGTGCAACCTCAAGTAGTTTGTCAACACCACCAAGCTGTATGGTGTGGTTGACACGCTGGAGGGAAGAGATGCCATCTACAGGGACCTGGGCAGGCTCAAGAGGTGGGCCCGTGCCAACCTCATGAAGTTCAACCAAACCAAGTGCAAGGACCTGCACCTGGGTCACAGCAATTCCAGGCACAAATAAAGGTCGGGCAGAGAATGGCTGGAGAGCAGCCCTGAGGAGGACGACTTGGGGGTGTTGGTGGATGAGCAGCTCAACATGAGCCAGCAATGTGCTGGAAACCAACCCCATCCTGGGCTGCATCAAGAGAAGCGTGGCCAGCAGGGCACAGGAGGTGATGCTGCCCCTCTGCTCTGGTGAGACCCCACCTGGAGCTCTGTGTCCAGCTCTGGAGTCCTCAGCACAGGAAGGACATGGACCTGTTGGAACGGGTCCAGCAGAGGGTCACGAAGATGTTCAGAGGGATGGAGCACCTCTGCTGTGAGGACCGGCTGAGAGAGCTGGGGTTGTTCAGCCTGGAGAAGAGAAGGCTCCAGGGAGACCTTATAGCGGCCTTCCAGTATCTGAAGGGGGTACAGGAGAGCTGGGGAGGGACTCTTTGTCAGGGAGTGCAGTGACAGGACAAGGGGTAATGGTTTTAAACTGGAAGAGGGGAGATTTAGATGAGATACCAGAAAGAAATTCTTTGCTGTGAGGGTGGTGAGAGCCTGGAACAGGTTGCCCAGAGAAGCTGTGGCTGCCCCATCCCTGGAGGGGTTCAAGGCCAGGCTGGATGGGGCTTGGAGCAACCTGGTCTGGTGGGAGGTGTCCCTGCCCAGGGCAGGGGGTTGGGACTTGATGTGTTGTTGAAGGGCCTGGTGAGCTCTGTCAGCGTCAGGGCCCTGCAGCCCTCCAGGAGGAGCTCTGGATTCAGTGCACAATAACAAACTCCAGCAGGGTTTGGGAGGCTGCCACTTTCACCCAGGACCCGAGTTCAGGCTGTGTCACTGCTCCTGCTGAGGGGAAAAGGGCCTGTCTGGAAATGCTGCTAAGAAGTGTGGAGGAACCTCCTCCCCCCAAGATCCTCACTTTTTCAAAACCGAAGTGTGGGCTGGATGAGGGGGCAGTGAGGTACATTGAGAGCTGGCTGTGTGACAGAACTCAGAGGGTTGTGATTACTGGAGCAGGGTTGAGTTGGAGGCCTTTAACCAGTGGTGTCCCCCAGGGGTCAATACTGGGTCCAGTCCTGTTCAACATATTCATCAGTGACCTGGACGAGGGGACAGAGTGTACCCTCAGCAAGTTTGCTGATGATACCAAACTGGGAGGGGTGGCTGCCACTCCAGAGGGCTGTGCTGCCATCCAGTGTGACCTGGACAGGCTGGAGAGCTGGGCAGAGAGGAACCTGATGAGGTTCAACAAGGGCAAGTGTAGGGTCCTGCACCTGGGGAGGAAAAATGCCAGGCACCAATAGAGGTTAGGGGTGGACCTGCTGGAAAGCAGTTCTGAGGAGGAGGATCTGGGGGTCCTGGTGGACAGTAAACTCTCCATGAACCAGCAACGTGTCCTTGTGGCCAAGAGGCCAATGGAGTCCTGGGCTGCGTAGGGAAGAGTGTGGCCAGGAGGTGGAGGGAGGTCATTCTCCCCCTCTGCTCTGCACTGGGGAGGCCACAACTGGAATCCTGCCTCCAGTGCTGGGCTCCCCAGTTCCAGAGAGACAGGGAACTGCTGGAGAGAGTCCAGCGTAGGGCAACAGAGATGATGGAGAGACTGGAGCATCTCCCTGATGAGGAAAGGCTGAGAGAGCTGGGGCTCTTGAGCCTGGAGAAGAGAAGGCTGAGGGGAGACCTTCTTAATGCTGACAAGAGTCTAAAGGGTGGGTTGAAGGAGGATGGACGGTGGTTCCCAGTGACAGGACGAGGGGCAACGGGCACAGGCTGTGATGCAACGTTTGAGGCGTTACTGGCTGGACATGGACAACTGTTATGGTTTGAGAAAACCCATAACAATCTATTGTCATTTAGACAATTATTCTATCACCCAATGACCCCTCCCCACCTGGAAAGGGGAATCGGGGAACACAGAGAAACACAAGGGTTGAAATATAAAAAGATTTAATAGACTAAGACTACATAATTAACAATAATACTAAATAACCAGTATTAACCCCGACACTGATATAAAATATACAGGAATTATCCCCAGCCCCTTCTCTCAGCAGGAGCCGTGCGCTCCCAGCAGGGACAGCAAATGGCGGACACTGCCAGCGCAATGGCTTCAGGAGGAAGGGAAGGCCTCAGGGCTCCGGCACCGGGGCAAGGAGTTCTCTGGACCCACCACCATCAAGGGAGAGAGAGCTACGCAGCAAACTTTTCTAATTTATATTGAACGGGACGTTCATGGTATGAAATAATCCCGTTGGCCAGCCTGGGTCAATGCCCAGGCCTTGCTCCTCCTTGTGCCTGCGCCTGGCAAGGCCCAAACATACGGAGACCTTGAATCCCACAGAGCCTGGCTGGCTATAAAGTAAATATTTTCACAAATTCAGTCACTAGAGTCTTATAAAAGTGCAATTTTCCCCAGCATTAGAAGAAAAGTTAGTCCTGTGCCTCTCCACCCAGGACACAGCAAAGCCCTCCTCTGGTGAAAACCTTCAGCTCCCCCTGCTTTGCAAGCTCTGGTGGCAAAACGTTTCGCTTCAGCTTAGTTTCCTGAGCTGGGGAGAGAAAAATCCTCCCACACAGACCGAGAAATTCTGGAAAAGGTTTGTAATAGCATTAACCTGGTGACAAGTCTTATCTACGTGTTGTATCGGAGACTTGTGGTCAAACACAAAGTGTTTCATTGAGAGGAAATAAAAGACAATAGGAAATAAAAATGGTGGGGGAAGATGGTACGTAGTCGAGATGTTCATTTGTGCAGCCTGAGAATCTGCCTGGAGCACATGTTGTGTCTGAATAAACAACTCTGAGCCAAGAGCTGCTTCCCCAGAGCAGAGCATCCCCGGCGTGGAGAGATCTCCTCTCTGACCTTTGGACGATCACGAGTCCTGTGTGACTTTGAGAAGTGAAAGATGTTGGCCTTTTGGTGGTTTTTCTGGACCCAGAACTGAGACACGGAGCCAGCAGAGGGGGCCAGCAGCCGGGTACAGCGTGCCCGAGGCAGGAGGAGAGACAAGTCATTTTCTGGGGTTAACCCACAGCAAGGTGGAGCTTCATTCTTCAGCGTTTAATACTCCTTCACGAGGCATTAGTTTGCACATTACTTTTGCAAGATTCTCAATTTTTTAATTGCCTATTTAAGTATGGAGGAGCGAGTCAGATCTGACTGGTTTGTGAGATTAAAAAGCACTGATCTCCACCAGAAGCCAGCATATCTGGGCTCTCATCCACACAGACACCACCTCCGGAGACACGTCACCATCTCGCTGTGGGGCTGATTTTCAAGCTTTTCCGAATATTCCACAGAACGAGACAGTTTTCTCCTCTGCCTCTTCCCACACAAGTCATTATTCCCCTGCCCCACTCAAAGCTGAGAGGAATCCCGTGATGTTTTCATTAAGTTACATTATCCTACGGGCTGTGCTGGAAGTTTCCTAAATTAACACTGGACATCAACATCGAAAAAAATAGATTTCTCAGGAAAAGACTTTCTCTAAACGTAGGAAGCCGCTGCCGTGACAGGGTCGGTCTCTCCCCTGATGCCTCTGCTCATCCCTGTAACAGGCACATTTATACTGCAGAATTGGGGGGAGTCCCTTTCACATCACAAAGTATCCACCCCGTGACCAAGTTATCATCAGAAATGCTGAGAACATCTAGGAGCGAGATCTGAGAGGAGAGGAGGAAGGAAATCTGAGAGGAGAGACCCTGCAGAAGGTTTGTCACATGTTTGCAGCTGCCTCATAAACTACACTACTGCACCTATCTATTTATTTTTATTTTTTTTTTTTGAACATGCAAAGCAGTAATGAGATGGTGAAGGGGCAATGAGCAACCTTCTCCCATTCGGCACCGGCCGGATGAGCCACGCTTGACAAACGCACATTAATTGCTGAACAAACTTATTAATTGCTGAACTAACTCATAGTCATCCTCAACGTTTCCATAAACCAGCTGTGGTTTCTTCTAGATGAAAAGGATTAATCCCCAGGGGGCTCGGAGAGCAGAGGCTTGTTTCTCCACCACGTTAACGCAGGCAGCCCAGCCTTTTCGGTTTGAACGGGCAGAAGAAGGGAATGAACGTTATGAAATTAGGAAGGAATTTTTCACTGAAAGAGTGGTCGGGCATTGGAACAGGCTGCCCAGGGAGGGGGTGGAGTCACCATCCCTGGCTGTGTTTAAGGGCCGTTTAGATGCAGTGCTGAGGGACATGGTGTAGGGGAGGACTTTGTAGAGTAGGGGAGATGGTTGGACTCGATGATCCCAAGGGTCTCTTCCAACCTCAATGATTCTATGATTCTATGAAATCTGGAAGAAGCTCATAATTTATGAGCAAGGACATTTAGACCTACTTGAAACCCAGTCGAGATATCCCAGGACACAGTTCCTACATTATTCAGACAGGAGTCTCCCCGTATCAGCAAATTATCTAATTTTAACCTGCTGACAAGCCTGTGGGATCAACAGCAACACTAGGCCTACACCAAGTGACTTACCGTGCAATTAGGGTGAATCACATAATTGCCTTCTTCCTCTTTTTTCCTTGTTTGCAAAGCAGAGGGAAATGCAATTCCGATGTCTCAGGTACCAAGTGGGGACAGAGTTGTTGTTGGGGTGGCATCGGGGTGATCCTCGAGCCACACGAGTGCTGAGCAGGAAACAGCAAACACTTATGATCTCCACAAAGAGCTTTAAGGCAGCGTGAAGGGGGAAAGGTCTCTGAGAAGTCTCCTTCTCTGGAGACATTCAAACCCACCTGGACACGTTCCTGTGGGACCTGCTCTGGGTGGATCTGCTCTGGCAGGGGGTTGGACTAGATGATCTCCAGAGGTCCCTTCCAACCCCGTGTGATTCTGTGTAATTTGGGACAGACATAGCACCTAGAACAGGAGCTTTCCATGTCCCTTTTCTCCCCGTCTGTGACCCCTCAGTGTGGCAGAGCTGACTGACACAGAGGTGAGTACAGCAGCCTGAGGGAAAGCACACAGCATGAGCGACTCTGACCACCCTCAGATGCATTTTGGTGAATCACAGCACTCCCTCCCTTCAGAGAATCATAGAATCATCCAGGCCAGAAGGGACCTCCAAAGGTCATCTAGTCCAACCCCCCTGCAGTCAGCAGGGACACCCCCAACTAGACCAGGTTGCCCAGGGCCTCGTCGAGCCTCACCTTGAATATCTCCAGGGATGGGGCCTCAACCACCTCCCTGGGCAACCTGTTCCAGTGAATGACTTAGTACTAGAATCACAGAATCACATGGGATTGGAAGGGACCTCTGGAGACCATCCAGTCCAACCCCCTGCCAGAGCAGGGCCACCCAGAGCAGGTCCCACAGGAACGTGTCCAGGGGGGTTTGAATGTCTCCAGAGAAGGAGACTCCACCTCCTCCCTGGGCAGCCGCTGCCCGGGCTCTGCCACTCTCACAGGAATGAAGTTCCTCCCCATGTTTAGGTGGAACTTCTTACATTCAAGTTAGTGCCCATTTCCTCTTGTCCTGAGAATAACGATGGTGAAGTCACTGCATGTTTTCCATATTTAGCTGCACAGACGTAGGAGGCTTTAAAGCATCTTAGCAAACTCCAGCATTTCTGTATGACTGAATTCATATTTCAAAACACCTCTGACTGGTCTCTTTAAAGCATCTCAGTCTCCTTGCACTGCACGGCCCAATATACAGAAACCCAGAAGTTATCAAGTGTGATCTACAGAGAACAACGCAGAACCACTGTGGCTGTAAAACAAAATATATAATTTAAAAGACTGTAGGAGAGAGGAACTTCTCTAGCCAAGGGTTTCCACTGGTTTTGAATTATTTATTTTTTTAAAGGAACTCACTCAGTGCTCCACCACCCTCACAGTAAAGAACTTTCTCCTCATCTCCAGTCTAAATCTGTTCCCCTCCAGCTTAAAACCATTGCCCCTCATCCTGTCACTGCAGGCCTTTCTAAACAGGTTCTCCCCAGCCTTCCTGTAGCCCCCCCTCAGGTACTGGAAGGCTGCTATTAGGTCTCCCCGGAGCCTCCTCTTCTCCAGGCTGAACAACCCCAGCTCCCTCAGCCTGTCCTCGTAGCAGAGGTGCTCCATCCCCCTGATCATCCTTGTGGCCCTCCTCTGGACCCTCTCCATCAGGTCCATGTCCTTCTTATATTGAGGGCTCCAGACCTGCACACAATACTCCAGGTGAGGTCTCACCAGAGCAGAACTTTCCTTGAGCTGGTTCCATGGAACCATCGCATTCCCACGTTGTCAGGGTGGGAAAGGTACAAAGAGGGAGTTTTATAGGGATTCATGAGTTTTATAGGGATTCATTCTTGATTCGGTACTCATCAGCGTTTTAACTGATTTAGGAGTATATACATCAAAAGCACAGGAGTGGCAGGGGCAGACTTCAAATGCCTTGGAAGATAAAAAAAAATCCTGCAGGATTATTAGATTATTAAATTTAAGGTGTAGCATTAAAAAAAAAAAAGCAGCAAACCCCCATTAAAATTAATCTGGCTGCAACGCATTTAAATCTAAAATTAAAGGGGAAAAAAAAGCCCATTGTAAATTAGTGATCAAACTATGTAAAAAAAAATTACCTTTGGAAGGATCGAAGCACAACAGGAAAGAACAAAGCTGTACAATTCTTACAATTCTGGTCATTAGTTCTCTCTGCTCCAACTCCAGTCTGAATACTCTTCTGCTCATCGGGAAGAGCCCAGAATCCCACGGTGAAGTTCTCATGAATAAAATAATTGAAAGTTGGCAGCTTTTGTATTAAAATTGCAGCAGCGAGTGAAATGAGGATATAGGTAGCAAATAGTACCAGGAAAAAAAAAAAAAAAAAATCAATATGGGATAGATTTGGAAGCCACCTCCAATCAGGATGCTCGAGGCTACCATGGGTTGCCCACCTTGAGTTTTTCATGTCCCCTTAGGGGGGTAACCATTCATTAACCAGTAACATGGGCCAGGTGATACAACACAGCCCTGTTTTTCAGCTCCATTTAATGAATAAAATCAAGATCCAGCTGAACAAAAATATCTACTCATGTCTAACTCAGTATTTTGGGTCAGCAAAATATCTTATAAACCTTAAAGGCAGAGCACAACAAAACTTCCATTCCTTTGCCCGCTCATGGCTAAACTGTAAATTATATCAATGCTTTCTGTAGTGACTAAATTTGCAGATTTACCTGAAGCATTCCTAGCACGTGTGACCAAGCACCTCATGAAGACTTTAAAAACATTTATAGTTATAAAGTTGCACTATTTTAACATAAAAAGCTCAACCTTCTCTTCAAATGTGTGACATCTGACATTAGAGGAATTTTCAATACGGTGTCAAAACTTTGAGTTCACTCAACATCTCTGAGGACTCATGTGAAATAGAAAAAAAAAAATAGTTCCTTTTATTTTAATCTTCAACAGAAGTACAGTAAGTATTTTTTGTGTCTTATTACAGCATTTTCATTTTCATGCAGACAATTTTTGGTACAAACAGAACTCAGAGCAAAAGCTGAGTAACTGTAGGAAATCACTGAGGTAAGAAATGTCTCTCTCTAATGGTATTTTTAGCCTTCTACTAGACAAGGCATTGAACTCTTCTTTTTTTTTTTTTCCTATGATGGAGAAGAGAAGGCAGGTGTTTTGTCCATAGTTTTATTTCACCAGGAAGGTTTATACACTTCTGCAATAAAGGTCATTGTATCACAGTCTGAAGTACAAAGCTCCCTTTGAAAACTCCAGCACAAAGACACCGCGTATTGACAACGTTAAACAACCATGTGGGTGGCATAGGGCAAAAAAAAAAAAAAAAAAATTAAAACAAAACAGCATTCTTCCTATTGGAAAAGTAGAATAAAACAAGGCACTTTGAGTAAATAAGTGAAGAACAGAAACAAGCTGTATCAAAGGTTCCACAGAGCTGACCCAGAGCACTGTAACAAAACTTTACAGTAAAGAACAAGTAAAATACAAAAAAGGCACTACATCGTCCTCTCCCTGCAACTCCTCTTTCTTAACAAATTAGCCAAACTGAACTTGGCACAATGGAGTCTTAATTATAAAGTGCATCTCCTGTCCTAATACGTTTTGAAAAATAGGCTATAGCACATATGGAGCAACATCCCCACGTGTACAATATATTGAAACGCAAAAACATCGCCACTAGATTCCATCTAGTTATGGACTGTGCAGGAAAAAAATATGGCTTCTTTACAAGTCTTTCAATCATCTCCATATAATCTGGACTTTTTCTTCTTTTTAAACAAATGTGAATGTGTTAGCGAGGTGGTAAGAGGTAGCGTTCCCAGTCAAAGGCAAACTCAGGGGTTTTGTTGTTATGTGGGTATATAGCAAAGGTCTCTCAGATTTTAAAAGCAGCATTACCAAACAGAAGTTAAGTATTACAGCATGCTAACTTGGGATGAAAATACACAGTGGTTTGGGGGTCTCACTAGTTCCTTCAGCAAAAATGTCATTTTTTTTTTTTCTTTTTTAAAATGTCCAACTATAATCCCATTTTGTAAGTGCTTTGCTCTTGGTACTGGAGGTTTTCCTATTGCATCGCATTAAAATTTCCAGAGAAACGTTCTTCAAACTTTACAACTTAAAAACACCACCTTCTGCACTCCTCTTAAACGTAAAGACGAGCCCGTTTTTACTTCAACAAGCATTGCTTTATGGCTATAAGAATATGAAAACACAAATACCAAACAGGTGAACACATCAAACGTGTCAGGTCAGTGTCACACATGTTTGGTGATTTAATGTGAAGTTTTTTGTCACTCCGCTAGGAAAGTCAGCCAAATTGTGTGTGTACACATCTAAACTTTAGCTGATTTTAGCCCTCATCAGACTTAATATATTAAATATATAAAGGCTAGATAAAAATGGAAATCCAAGCAGCACTGGGTATGTTTTCTTATGTTAATAATTTGTAAGGGTTTATGTAAACATTCAAGGTGTGCATTCTTGCTCTCTGCTGTCAGTTCTTTGCAGCTCCGACGTGTCCCTACCCCTGGGGTACGTCCCCACCGTGAAGCTTTCCCAGGTAACGGCAGCTGCTCCTCATCTATTCCTCTTCATCAGCAGTATATGCTACTTCAGCCACTTCAATTTCTGGTACAGAATTTTCAGCCAAAGAGCCACTCCAGCAAGCCTCGTGGTTCTCCTTCTCCGAGCTGCAAGAACAGAATCACAGAATCACAGAATCTTCTAGGTTGGAAGGGACCTTAAAGATCATCTTGTCCAACCGTCAACCTGACTGACAAAAATAGACACCCACACAACAAACAAGGAGCATCATCACTAAACCAGACCTCCCAGCACTACATCAACCCGGCTTTTGAACACCTCCAGGGATGGGGCCTCAACCACCTCCCTGGGCAGCCCATTCCAATGGCTGAGAACCCTTTCAGTGACAAAATTTTTCCTAATATCCAGCCTGAACCTCCCCTGGTGCAACTTGAGGCCATTTCCTCTCGTCCTGTCGCCTGTGACTTGAGAGAAGAGACCGACCCCCACCTCTCTACACCCTCCTTTCAGGGAGTTGGAGAGAGCAATAAGGTCTCCCCTCAGCCTCCTCTTCTCCAGGCTGAATAACCCCAGAACACAGCAATAAGCTTTGTCAAACAGAAACTAATCCGTTTCTCCCCAGTCGTTTTACGCCCACGATCCACACAAGGTTTACGAAGCTTGTTCAACTGATCCCTTCTTCCAGAGCTAAAATCATCTCTCCTGAAGGCCCTTCTGACCCATGGCGTTGCTCCAGAGAGGTGCAATAAAATGCTGAACTCCTCGGCTCTTCAGAATTTATCCAAGACCAAACATTTAAAAAACATACTTCGAGAAAAACTAAAATATAAGTAAAACAGTAGTATTTACCAGCTGTCCTCCCCCAGGGTACCCTGGTCTGCTTCCACTGCAGAAGACTCCACCTCACCACTGCACTCACTTTCTTCTCCTGATATTTGACGAGTCATTTTTCCTGAAGACAAATCCCTACAACAAATAAGAACAGAGTATCCCCAATTCACACAGCAAACCTTTCATTGCTGGAGAGCCATTTGTTTTCATTTTAAACCTTACAGTTTCTGAGAACCTATCAATCAATCTCACTCCTACATGCCCCATTTATTTCTTTTATTACTACAAAGATGCAAAGCTTGCACTGGATAGCTATTTAAACACGTTATTTGCTCCAAAACTAAATTCAATCCTCTGGTAGCATCACAATTTAGTAGCTTTACAAAATTGAAGTCCCAGGGGAGCAATTAAGACTTTAGGTAAGAAATTACAAGCAGATGGTCCAAGCCACACACATCTTGTCGAAACGGCAGAAGGATTATAACCAAAACATAGTCAGAAGGAAGACAGGCAGGATGATAAAAATATTCCTTCAACAGTTTCCCAAGTTTCTCCTTGGAACTTTAAAAGTCATATATTAAGTTTCAGAACAATACATTTTTGCATTAATGATAGAGACAGGTAATAGTTTTTTATTAACAGCAACATGAGTTGGCAGTCTGACCAGCCTGGCCACAAATGGGGAATATGGTTACCTAAAATTATCAAAAAAACCCAAAAAACTTGTTTGTGAAGTATTGCTCTCTGTGGAAATCCTACTGACTTCTCATTGAAAGCTGCTGCTTGAATTGGAAAGAAAAGCTTGTGAACAGTTTTGTGTTGAAAATGATAACTACTATATTTCACCCTCTGAACTGCTATTGTTTCTGCAGTGTTAGTTTAACGCATGTATTTTATGTAGCACCTCAGCAGTATTCTCTAACCTGATTACTGGCCTGTGTTTGGCCAAATCCAGCATGATATGGAAAGTCCTACAAGTCTGATGCCTCGTCAAATTAACCCCTTCTACCTACATGTATTTTAGGTACCCAGCCTTTATAGAGTAAAGGCAGAAGGTATTTAATTCTTGTTGGCTCATCAGATCAAAATTCCACTTCAGCAGGACCGACTTTCTTAAACAGGACCACGGGCTTAGCTGGTAATTTTTACAACTTAATAGAAAATAACTCCTGTGATTTTTAAGAATTCAGATGCTACTTGGCTGACTTTCAATAATTTTAGATGTCTGGGAAACTAGCAGGATGTTTGTGTGTTTTTTAAAAAAAATAATCTATCTTCAGGGAAAGCGCTAAAAAATAAAATCCCTTTTTGACTTCTTATTCTTTTTCTTCTTGTTTTTAGTCACACAGAACTTCCTATGTTTTAGCCAAATGGTAGTTACTTAATTTTTATTGGCTGTTTCACTGTTTAAGCCAGCAGTAAGCCATAACCTTCTCCTCAAACAGGGAAAGCATCTTTCAAATGTAATTACTTGCTTTCAGGAGTGAGTGACAAACTGAATGTGGCATTCAGATCAGAATTTTCAATAAACCACAACAATTCCACTTAAATCCTTTACCAAGGATTCACTTAAACCTTATATCCAAATCTGTGATTTGTTAGTCAGCCTGGATATGCCTGGCTCAGCAACCCAAGCATTATTAAAATAATTTCTAAAGGGAATTTACTGCTTTGCAAAGGAAACCCTGCAGCCACCCACTCAGCAGGTCTGTCAGGACACTCACAAGCCCAACATTAACTCCCCTGGGCCTGCTACAAAATTTAGCACACAGGCACCATAAGTTTTATAATCAAACCTCTAACATTATTTTTTTTTCCCCCCTTAGCTTAAAATGGAGGATCTGCAGCATCACTCCAGGCAATTCAGGATGAAGCTGAAGACATGAATACAGACATAGAATCACTTTATGCCCTGACAAAGCTTTGAGTACAGGTGGAATTTTGTAACTAAAAAGTTTTGTAACTATTTATTTTGTAAATAAAAAGCAATTTTTTCCATTGCTCTCATCTCTAGCAGGGCACTTCACATACCCAACATTTCAACAGCGGAAGAGAATCTTTGCCTTAATCTGCACAGGATTTACAGGGTTAGGAAACATAATCCCAGTTACTTTAGAGGGAAAAAGATGGGACGACACTTTCTCAGTATTAAACAGCAGCTTTTTAGCCAGTAGATGAGAAAGAGCCTACTGAAAATATTGCTGCGTGTGGGATTATGTGGGGAAAACTGTTTCCAGGAATACTCTGAAAGCTGGTGCTTGGATAGAGAGAAAAATGCCTTGGTGGGAAGAAACTGCCAAACCCCATAAAATTTCTCTACATACCTAATTCTTCTTTCAATGGCATCAATATGAAGTTGCTTTTCACTCAGCAATTTCTTCAGCGACTCAACCTCTCTCTGTTTTTCAAGCAGCTCTTTTTGCAGGCGGTAGTTTGTTTCCTCCAGAGTTTCACAGAAAGCCTAAAAGACAAATTCAAGAACATCTCCTGTGTAACTTCAGCGGGCTGCCTTTATTGGTATTTCTTGTAAAAATATCAACCCGTAGCAGAATTGTAGCTGCTTTTCTTTGTATTGATTACCAGAAAAAACTACATAAATGTAATAAAAAGTTCCATCCTAATAAAACAATGCCTCTTTGCTTTGAACACTAAACTGTGATGCAAATACTTTATCACATCATTTGTTTGTCTCACAAGAGACTTTAGGGAGAAGTTTCTCTCCTTTGATGTGCAGTCCCTAATTTTGAACCTAATTGCCTATATGGATCATCAGCTAAACTTCCAAATCCCTTTTCTCCTCATATAAGCTCTGCTTTCACGTGACTTGGAAGCAATTTCAAAATATTTAATATTTAATAAAATATTAAGTGCATGTTCTTCCCTTACCCAGGATAAAGACAAAGTTGCACAGTTCTGTACCAAATCACTGTTAGAAATATGACAATCATGAGAGTAAGAAGAACACAAAACTCTTTGAAAAGGTTTAATAAAATGCTAAGAACACCAACTACTCAACCATGATAAGTATGTTGTGCATCTCTGCTGAGCATGACATGTAAATATATATATATATATATAGCACATCCTGATGAATTTGACAGGGAGCAATCTCAAAATTACTGGAAAGAGCAAGTCTACCAACAGTAACGTGCAGTTCAGATTTAATAATTAACATGTTTGCACTAAATAAGAAACCCACGTAGGAGGCTTTCTTGGCTTCACATCACATACAACTAACCACTGAGTCATGGACTTCATTTTATACGAGCTCAGTTACAAAAAATGCTGTTAAGACACTGTTTTTCCTCAAGCTTTAAAAGGGGCTACAGACATCAAGAAGATACTACTCTCTGGTTTAACTGTAGCCTGTTTGAATTTGAATTATGCAATTCAAACAAATGCCGTGTTTTTCAATCCAATAACCATTTTGAAATTTTTTGCACTCAGTTCTAATTTAATTTATTTTTAATATTTTTTTATCTATATATATAGAATAATTTATTTTATTGTCTCGGAGAGCCAGTTTATCTTGGTTGACAGGCATCAATGACAAACCACCAGTTAAGCCACAACTTTATTCACATCTACTAGAGACAAGGACACGTGGTACGCAATTAATTCTGCGCATAACATTTTTAGGGATTGCTTTAGCAATCATTCCAGTTAAGCAGCCATCCTGTTTATCTAAGCAAATTAAGCAAATTCTAGTGCGTTTTGTACAACTGTTCAGGATTGCTGGTGTCCTAACTGAAAATTGGCCATTATTTCCTTATGAATATAATTAAGTTATATTATTTCTACCTTTAGATTTATGCACACGCAAATTTCCCTCTTCACAGAATAACTAAAAGTATCCTGTGGGTGTTTTGAGCTGTTTCATTGCTCTATACCAGTGCTGAGAAAAAGCCTTTTGGAAAAATTTCTCTCTAGCTGCAATCTGTGTATCAGTTGCCCAAAAAAAGGGAAGTCACTGCTCACAATGAATAAAAAAACTAGGAAGGTGAACCAAAGCTGAGAAAGACCAATCAGGGAATTGTGTCTAATGAGATATCTTGTTCCTTGAAGTACTGGGCACCTGGAGTCTGGTACGGTTCCAAGACCCAGGTGGGACCAATTTTCCCTGTAAGTTCTGAAAGGGCAACAGAACTAGACCAGCTGGAGAAGAGCTTCATTTCCTTCTTCAGGATATTACGAAAAATTTTTTCACTGAAAGGGTGCAGCATCCAAAGCCAACAGCATCCTGGCCTGTATCAGGAACAGTGTGGTGAGTAGGGCCCGAGAGGGGATTGTCCCCCTGTACTGGGCACTGGTGAGGCCTCACCTTGAGTACTGTGTCCAGTTTTGGGCCCCCTACCATAAAAAAGACATTGAGGGGCTGGAGCGGGTCCAGAGAAGGGCGACAAAGCTGGGGAGGGGTCTGGAGAATAAGTCTTATGAGGAGAGGCTGAGGGAGCTGGGGTTGTTCAGCCTGGAGAAGAGGAGGGTGAGGGGAGACCTTATTGCTCTCTCCAACTCCCTGAAAGGAGGGTGTAGAGAGGTGGGGGTCGGTCTCTGCTCCCAAGTCACAGGCGACAGGACGAGAGGAAATGGCCTCAAGTTGCACCAGGGGAGGGTCAGGCTGGATATTAGGAAAAATTTTTTCACGGAAAGGGTTCTCAGGCATTGGAATGGGCTGCCCAGGGAGGTGGTTGAGGCACCATCCCTGGAGGTGTTCAAAAGACGGGTTGATGTAGTGCTGGGAGGTCTGGTTTAGTGATGATGCTCCTTGTTTGTTGTGTGGGTGTCTATTTTTGTCAGTCAGGTTGACGGTTGGACAAGATGATCTTTAAGGTCCCTTCCAACCTAGAAGATTCTGGGATTCAGTGGATCATGAAACACTGTGGGCTGGGAAAAAGGACCTGTGGGAACAATTACCAACCGTATGACAAAAAGGATTCCTTTAGGGAATATTTTGCCTACATTTCTGTGATAAAATTTCTATAAGGCATAACTGATTTCTAGTGGGGGAAGTACCCGTACTCTGCCCTGAAATGATAAGGGTTTTGGCAAGTCCTTCTTGAACTGGAATAATAGAATAGACATAAAGCAAGTAGACAATACCCATATTTTCCATTGACAGTAATAGAAGATAGTTTTTTTTCCAATGCTTTGTATGACACCCGTAAGGTGAAACAGAAGCGATTTTTGAGAGGCCTTTAAAAACCAACTTCAGGAATAAGTATGTGAACAACAGCTCTCGTCCTGTAGTTGGGCACTGCTTACAAAAGAAAAGTGAGGGATGGATAAGAGCTGCTCTCTGATATGTAGGAGTTCAGGATGCTAACAGGCAGGAGCGGTGCAAAAAGCAAGACCACAACCATGGATTTTGGGTGAGAAGACTTCAATCTCTTCAGAAATCTGCTTGGAAGAAAGAATCCATGGGAAACCACCCTGGAGGGAAGAGCAGCCCATGAGAGCTAGCCGATATTCAAGGATCACCACCTTCAAGCTCAATAAAGGTCCAGCTCAACAAACAGAAGTCAAGCAAAGGTTGCAGGAGGCCTGTAGGGATGAGCAAGGAACTCCTAACTCAACTCAGATATGAGAAGGAAGTGTACTAGTAGTGGAAACATGGAGCCCAGGAGTATAGGGCTGCTGTCTGATCCTACAGGGACAGGGTTAGGAAAGGCTAATCTGGAGCTGAATGCATTAAGGAACGTGAAAGAAAACAAAAGGCTTCTACAAGTACATAATCAACAAAAGGAAGGTTAGGGAACCATGGACCTACTGCTGAATGGAGTTGGGGAGATTGTGACAAATCACACTGAGAAGGTTAAGGTATTCAACACCGCATTTGCCGGTCTTGATTGGCAACACCAGCCTTCAGGAACCTCTGCAACCAGAGGGAAAGAGAAGGAAGGGTAAGACAACCTCACCCTCAGTGGAGGAGGACCTGGTCAGGGAGCACTTAAAACAAACTGGACATAGATTAAGTCCACGGGTCTGACAGGTTGCACCCGTGAGTACTGAGGGAGCTGGCTGATCTCCAGCATGGTGTCCACCAGGACCCCACATTTCATGATTCAGGTATCGTAATCAAAAATCACAGAATCACAGGATCTTCTAGGTTGGAAGGGACCTTAAAGATCATCTTGTCCAACCGTCAACCTGACTGACAAAAATAGACACCCACACAACAAACAAGGAGCATCATCACTAAACCAGACCTCCCAGCACTACATCAACCCGGCTTTTGAACACCTCCAGGGATGGGGCCTCAACCACCTCCCTGGGCAGCCCATTCCAATGGCTGAGAACCCTTTCAGTGACAAAATTTTTCCTAATATCCAGCCTGAACCTCCCCTGGTGCAACTTGAGGCCATTTCCTCTCGTCCTGTCGCCTGGGACTTGAGAAAAGAGACCGACCCCCACCTCTCTACACCCTCCTTTCAGGGAGTTGGAGAGAGCAATAAGGTCTCCCCTCAGCCTCCTCTTCTCCAGGCTGAACACCCCCAGCTCCCTCAGCCTCTCCTCACAGGACTTGTTCTCCAGACCCCTCACCAGCTTTGTTGCCCTTCTCTGGACCCGCTCCAGCACCTCAATGTCTTTTTTATGGTAGGGAGCCCAAAACTGGACACAGCACTTGAGGTGGGGCCTCACCAGTGCCCAGGACAGAGGCACCATCACCTCTCGGGCCCTACTCCCCACGCTGTTCCTGACACAGGCCAGGATGCTGTTGGCCTTCTTGGCCACCTGGGCACACTGCTGGCTCCTGTTCAGCCGACAGTCGACCAACACCCCCAGGTCCTTTTCTACCATATTTAAGCATCTTTCACATGAGAGCTGAGACTCCTCAGTCTGGAGAAGAGAAGACTCAGGGTGACCCTATCAATGGCTATTTATACCTGATGGGAGGAAATGAAGAAGAGGGAGTGAGGCTCTCCTCAGTGTTGCCCACTGACACAAAAGAGACAATGGGCACCAACTGAAAACCAGAAAATTCAATCTAAACACACAAAACCAACTTTTTTTACTGTGATGGCAATCAAACACTGGAACAGGTTGCACAGAGAAGCTGTAAAGTCTCCTCTGTAGATTATTCAAAGCCTGAGTAGATGTGGTCCTGGGCAACCTGCAGTACCTGACCTTGCTTGAGCAGGAGGGTTGGACTAGTTGATCTCAAGAGGTCCCTTACAACCTCAACCACTCTGTAATAAGGTGAGGTATCCCTTGAAGACCAGAATTTTATGACAGCTGTCTCTAGCAACTTTACATAAACGGTTAATAGCCAAAACTGCAACAGCACAGCTATTTTAATAGTTTACTTAAATTCTTACGGTGGAAGAATAACCCTGAGGCTTCACCACCATACATGTGATCAAAATCTCTGTGAAGGTGGCACTTAAATTTCTTAATTATTTGAATAACTCCAATAATTTTTATTGCTTTTCATCAAATTAAGTAGCTATGACGAAAAGTGATTGATTGTGGAGAAATGAAACATGAGCTCGTAACATAAAAAAATATACCAAAGCCTTCAGATGTACACAGTGATGTAACAAGAGACAAGGCACTCCCACTCTGACACAAAGCAAACTGCTAAATACAAATTTAGTTGAAGGAGCATCACTTCACATTCATAATTTCTACAGCACTAACAATGTATGTGCAATTATAAAAAATACTGTTATTGTGTAAAGCAAGAAAACTACAACCACCTGTTCCAGACAGACTTAATACAGCTCTGCATGTCATTGAAAACTATTTCTAATAAAACAGGCTGCAGCATACAGTATTATTTGTTCAATGTGCTCACATGCATATTTAAAGGCTGCTGTTTTACAACACTACTTGACACTACTTATTTCTCTGCAAGAACACTATTTTTGGTGGTGGGAATTAATCCTTTCACTACATTCACAGCAAGAACACTTTACTGCAAGACCTGAAGTCTAAGGCATACACATTGTGACAGTGTGTTGAATGTAAACTACAAAACCTCTCCTTATAGTCAGTAGTTGCCTAAAAAATAAGTTTTATCCACTGGTCATATAAGGCAAAAAGGAAGAGATTGTATCTTGGGAGAGAGATGAAGTACAGAGGTCAAAGATTATCAGTGTACACCAATTCGACTGTGTCAGTTTTAGAAATACATCCATTTGCAAGTATTTTGGAAAGAAGAGAAATAAGTGTTTCATTCCACACCATTCAGCAGATTTTACAATATTCTAACAACAATTACTGCCTTTTGCATTCTGCTTTTATTGTATTATATAGCACTTACCCTGCTCTCTTCTAGACTGTCAAAAGGACCCGGAGGATCATCCAGACAAAGGAATTCTCTCACTGCAAGACTTTAACCAAACAAAACACTGAATTACTTGAAGTACAAAAAAGCAACAACACTTAACTATGATCATATGAGGGCAATATTCCTTTAAGGGACACAAACATCTATCCTCGAATTTACTCCCAAAATGTGAACCAACTATAAAGTCTGAGTTATATGTGTTAACTGGGGATAGTATTTAAAATATGACTTAAATTGCACAGGTCTACTGAAAAGTTTTCAAACAGAGAGCAGAACATAATTTAGAACATGATTTTTCAAATCTTCACAGAATTTGTTGGTACACGGCAACTTACAGGCAAGTTCATCACCAGTATTGAAGAAGTCTGAAAAATTTTCCTGGTGAAAAATATATATCAAAAGATGGATGAAAAAATACGCTGCTTAAATCCATATGCAGACCCCTTCACAAAATACCAGTGGAACTAAGCACAGGCACTGAAACATGCTTACGTGTCCCCATTTTGCTAAATTCATAATCCATTGACATATGGTATATAGTGTTCATATCTACAGTCTATGTTCATATATAGATAAAAAAGAATAAGTTATAAAAGAATACAAAGTAACAAGATTAATGAGCCATGCATATACTACACAGCATTTCTAAACAGACATTTCAAACTAATGCATTCAACTTAAAATGGTTTACAATTGTGCAACAGTTGTCATCCCCCTCTGGGCAGTGTTTTGCAAAGGCCAGAAGAGGGAAGTCTGTGGGGTCTATTACAGGTTGCTTTGAGCATCTTGCTCATTCTGTCTTCCAAGTTTAGATCACTTTTCAACCAAACTCTTCAACGTCTCCAACATCTCCTTCGCCCACCTTTCTAAGACTTTCCTGCTCTGTTGCATTCATTCTATAAATAATCTCCAATCACAATACTGGATTCACAATTAGCAAGTAGTAACCCCTTAGCAATCCTGTGCTTGCACTCTCCACTATAAATCTCTACGTCATCTCCTCCTGCAACGAATGCAAAAAAAGAAAAAAGGAAGATGTAAATCTAAACTAATTCCCTGTCTCTTCCTTCCACCTAAGGCCTGTGGGAAGGTGAAGGCAAAAGAAATTAATCTTCTGCCTTCTGCTCATTCTCCACATTTGAGGCAGATGCAAAGTACAAACACAAGAAAGGAAACTTTTACGCAGCTACCAACCTAATCAAACAGTTTCGTCAAGCAAAACGAGGAAATTTCTTCAGCAAACACTAATCATTGATTATACCATCACTTTCAGTTTTAGAAAGGCTCTAAAGAATATTTATCTAAAAATATATTGAACCTTTATTTTCTTGTTGGATTTTTCTAAGCCTGCTTTCCAGTGCTTATTGCACATGTGAAGATACAGATGGCTTTTTTGGGTGAGTGGTGGGTGAGAATTCTTGTTTACCTACTTGGTACCTTGGTACCTACTTTCACCTCATCATTCTTTACACCAACCCGAAAAAAATTCTTCCATCATAATGATAATTTTTTTCCTCACTTAATCTATGTGACAAATGCAATAAAACCTCCCTTCTTCAAGCCCTCTCCACTGCTTTACATTAATCAATCTGTGATCTGTGCAAGTCAGCCTAAACCTGTATTATTAAAAGAGCTTCTCCCACATATACAAATAAATAATAAAAACAGTCTGCTACTTAAAACAAGATGATCACTTCAATTGGCTCAGAAAATGATAGACAGTAAACAAGTGATTAGTTAAATTATTAGCAAACATAACCCCCAACCAAATCAAAAATTATTCAGGTATATAACGTACATTTTCAAGAAGAGCAGGGTTAGGTTTTTTTCCTCTCTAATTTAATCTGCTTGAAGTCACCCTTTTCCAACATGATGCTCAAGTCCATTTTTTTCATGGGTGAATTGTTCCTTTCATAAAAGATTCTGAATGAACTCATCTATGCCTAATGCAGAAGAATTCACTATGTGGAAACACTTCTGCTCACCATTTTTCTTCAACATCTTCATCTTTAATTCACATAGCTCAATTCAAACATTTTAAAATCAGTTAATTTCTACATTTTGCTAGTCATTTTATTGTGTTATTAAAAGGCAAGGTTACAATGCAATAACGCCTGAGAGTGAAAAAGGAAATGTCCAGACAAATAAATGTGCAAAAGTACCCAGTTTACATATATCACTACTTCCCTCAGATCAACCCCCTTTATTTGTAGTCGTCGTTTTCCCTACAGCTGCTGGCAGAAAACTGTGTCTTTTTCTATTGTTTTCAAAACTTCATTATTTTATACGAGGAGGTCAAGAAACTTAAAGTCATAGGTCAGCAAGAACATTGTTTTTATATGTAAAATATGCACCTGATGGCATAAACACTGATTTGCAGACTCTTGAGAGTCATAGAACAGAATCATATGGGGTTGGAAGGGACCTTTGGACATCAAGTCCAACCCCCGCACTGGAGTGGGTCTACCTAGAGCAGGTTGCACAGGATCTTGTCCAGGTGGGGTTTGAATGTCTCCAGAGAAGGAGACCCCACCACATCCCTGGGCAGCCTCTGCCAGGGCTCTGCCACCCTTACAGTAAAGAAGTTCCTCCTCACGTTTAGGTGGAACTTCTCATACTCAAGTTTGTGCCCATTTCCTCTTGTTCCGTCACTGGTCTTGCTTTGCCTTTGCTCTCCCCTCCATGTCTTACAGTTCTTCCTTTAATTTAACAGGATAAAGTTCTGCCTTACAGGTATGATAGAAATCTTCTACATCAATGAAGCAGAGCTGGCAGGGGCAGCACTGCACACGGGGATCCCTGAGGAGACTCAACCACTGACTGAGTTTCTTTTAAGGCCCTTCTCACACAGGGAGGAGGCAGAGGAGAGCTGTGTCATCTATAAACCCGCTGACGCTTCCGTTCAGCAGGTTAAACTTCTTTCTCCCACTTTGTGGGTTGTAGGAAACTTTCTGGAACACATCAAACTCTGTGGGTGGATTTCAATTTGGTCTTTCACTGAATCTTTAATAGAAGGCAAACAAATATGACAAGAAATCCATAAAAAGCAGACTCTAAATTTAGTCACCTGCACACCATCCTACCTTTTATCTTTAAACTACTTTGTGAATCTAATTTTATTGAAAAAAAATAGGTCTACCAAATGAGTTCACCTATCCCTGATGGGCAAATTTCCCACTGTCAATATATTTCAATAACATTACAGTGCATAAAAAGTACTTTTTGAAGTACTTTTGAATGAAACAGATGAAATGAATCATACTTCCCTACAAACAACAACAACAAAAAAAAACTCATTTGGTTTTGGTGCAACCCAAGCAGTTTGATTTCTTTGCAAAACCATAGAAGTAAATGGTGAGCTTTCAAGGAGAAAGCAGGGTCAGGTGCTCATCACTGCTCAGGTAAGGTGCAAATATTCATTTCCATTAATAGCAAATTTTATTCTAATAAGTGGATTAAAAAAAAATAATCAGACAGATGAAATCTTCCTCGTTTTGGTCACTTCCTGAGGAATTCAGACCTTCCACAGATATAAAAATTAGAACATAATCCGTACCAATAGGTTATAAAGTTTTCTAATAAACTTAATCTTCATGCAGAGCTTTACAAAGCCAAGATCAGAGTTTTCTTCAAAACCACATTTCACTTAACTGTCTAAACCAAAATCAAAATTGATTCGACAAACATTTAAAGATCCTTTTGTATCTGATGAGCGGTGCACTCTGGAAGTTACGTTTTGGGTTTATTTTTCCTTAAATTCTGACAAACACTATTTTGTCCAACATGGACCATCATCAAGACACAAACAAGCTAGCTGAAATCCCAAACTAGCTGCAACTCCACGAAGCATAAAGCCTTCAGATCTATTCAAGCAGACTAAAAGTCCACTCAGTCCACTATTCCGTCTCCAGCAGCATGACGTAAGTGACATTTAGAGAATAATTCCTTTCTTTTTTGGGGCACACCTATTATTGTGTAATTTAATAATCAGGAAGTTCTTAAACTTCTCAGCCACATATTTCACCCATATAATCATGTTTAATAGCCACTGACGGGGAAACTCACAGGTTGATCCCAATTTCTTTTTGAACCCATTTCAGCTTTCTGTCTCTGACATCTCACAACAAAGCCTCCCAACTCAGGAGTGACACAGTGAGAGCTGACTATGAATCACCCAGATATTAACATTCTTTACTCACCTTCCCTATCCCCTTGATGATTTCATACACCCTGTTTGGCCAGCCCTTTTCCAAGGTGACAGACTAAAGAGAACCCGACTCTTCTTACAGAGAAGTGTGTCTGCAGCTTCATCTGTTCTTGCTCACCTTCTCTGCAATTTTAGCAGACCCTCTTTTGAAATCAAATGCTGTGTTTTAGCAGTGGAAGTTGTGGAAGTGCAATTCAGATTCCCACAGCAATCACTTTTTTTTTTTCTTTTCAAGTTCCTCTTCAACAGTTTTGATGCAACTTTTTCATCGTTGCTGAATACTGAACTGATTCAGAAAAACTGTATCAATACCAATCGTTGTTTTCCAGGTTGTAAAAACCAACAGATTTTATGATTCTGTATGTACTCGTATGTAATTTTGCACTTCATGACATGCAATTTAATATTATTCACTCAGTCCCTCAGGATCCTTCTACGATACTTCATGATCTCCTTGGTCATTCCCTTTCACAGATACTCTTACCATCGGTCTCCGTAACTGTGGTCCAGCATTCCACATGTAATACCCCTAAATTTCCATCAATCCTTTTCCCCTTGCCTTTCAACCATTTTATATGAGCTCCCTCATAACTCCTTGTTAGATAGATTTCCCTCTGCAAAAGATATTATTGCTTTTCCAAGGATTATTTTTATTTACCTGCTTCCTGCTGTGGGTTTTTCATTACAAGCAGTATCAAAAATTAGACTTACTTACTGATCTCTAGCTCCCAGACATAATTTGCCTCCAACAGTCAAATGCTTTATAAAAATGTGCTAAATGTAATAGCCATTATACTAAAAAGTAGATATGAGCATTATGTAGTTTCACACCACAGGTCAGCACTTATACATTTTAGTTCCTTCAAAATTCTTGAGGAAATGCTGTTTGCTCTACAGAATGTCTTACTCTTCATTTTTAATGAAGTTTCAGATGAATACAGCTCCTCAGACTTATTGGTACAGCAATCTCACAACTTTTTTATTTCTGGTGTTGGGAAAGGTTTTTAGAACTAACTGCTCTGCCTCTAGCAACTTGCTTGCCTATATTAAAATGATTTTACATTTTATTTGCCAGAATTGTGCTCTATTCGTCTTCCAGCTTTGGAAGAATCTTCCACTTTGTATGAAAAAAGATACTGTTCAAAGAGACTTCTGCACTTTGTTGCTTAAAAACAGTATGCTTTTGAGAGTCTAAAGCCTTTTTTGATTTGCAATTTACATTTACTCACGTAAAGCAATCTATAAAGGTACTTCTATTACTATCACATGATGTAGATTAAAAAACCTTTCGTTTAATACACATTTTAAGAACTAATCACATAACAGAGCAGGTACTTTTCATTACAGGAGCCTAATATTTAATCTCAATATAAATTAACAATATATCAATTCTGCATTCAGCACACAGAAGTAATGTTTTAGGAGTAAACATGGAATTCGTCTAATATTTTAAATATTACAGTTTTTAGTTAGTGGTTACCCATGTACAATTCAGAACACTCAAACTACTGCAATTCCCCATTTTTGCTTAGGTTAATATAGAACTAATGCAATAGGAAACCAAATAATTCACATAATGACCAAATACACAACATGAACATTAATGAAATTCCTTACTATGTTGTTAAAAGATAAACTGCTAGTGTCTAGAATATATCTCCTCCTAAATGAGGAGTTTGAACACTAAAAAAAATCCCAATCCACAAGCAAAATTCAATCACGTACCAGTTAGCAATATCTTTGTGAGCTACTAGGTTCTGCAGAAATGCTTGTAGTCCCAACTGTCGATCTTCCAAGAAGTCAGGATTATAATTATCCTTGAACCAGCGCTTTGGTGGAAGAGCCAACCGAAAGCCTGGAAACATATCCTTTAGCTGAAATAGAAATCAAAGCCAAATGAAGAAAAGCAAGAAAAAAAAAAAAACCTCTTGATGAAATACTGGATTTGACACAGGCACTGACTTTACTCAGAATTACAGGATCTTTCTGTCTTCTGTTAAGTTCCAGCACAAGGTAAGGCTCAATCATAAGTACAACCCAAATTATAGTGTAAATTGTGGACACGGTTCTATTACTTGCTGTGTCACCTCATGCAATAAAACGACCTCTTAAATTTACTATACAAAAATAGGAATGAAAACCTTTGCTTTGTTATTTAGTGTCTGCTGCTTAATGCCTTTGAGTCAGTAAATGTAAGAAAATTGTATGTAAGTAAAAAAGTTTCAGATGAGTAAGCATTTCAGTGGTGTTCTAAAGTACTCAGGGCTAAGAAGTACTATATAAATAAAATATATAAAAGCCCATTACAGACCTACAACTCTGCAACTCGTCTTTTTTGGGGGAGCTGGCAGAATGAACTACACCACAGGCCTGAGTCACTTCTACTAAAGAGTAGTTCCTTGTACACTGAATATTAAAATTTCAATATGCATGGCTGCAGCTGAAACCCTACTACTAACATACAAAACTGTATTTTTGAGTTACTTAAACAGTACCAGGGTATACTCAACATCAGAAATACCTAGAATTTTTCTTTGAATTCAGAAATAAAGTGAATGGAATCATAAAATTATATCATGATAGACCTGTCCAGGGATGCCAATTAAATATTTTTCTAATATGCATGAAAATAAAAACCCGCTTTTGTAAAAAATGATTTATAGATGCCTTTTCTTAGAAGGGATGCTTGACACAAAAGCCTCCAAGAGGATTTACAACCAACAGGAAAAAGCAACCAGGTTTTAGAAAATCTAATGTTACTCTAACTGCCAGAAGAATTCTTTAATCTTTTTCTGAAGACAGGATCAAGCCAGCTTCTGTCAGGGATGCGCTGCATAAACCTAGGATATTCAGATGAATGTTCCAGTGGCAGGGATTCTAGCATCTGCCTTGGAAACAGTTTAGCTCTCAGTGTCTACATACCTGCAAGACAATTCTTTAGTGAGTGTCTTGATCATTGCACAGCAAAATTTAAGCCTTCTGACAATAATTCTATTTATTTAACGGCCCTTTATGGACCCTTGGAAAAGGCTGATGGATAGCTCTTTCAGCAGACTAAGTTTTTTAAAAAGTTTAAACAGATGCTGTATTTCAGCTAGGATCTCCCTACACAATTAAAGGAAGAACCACGTTAGTGGATCACTCTTGCTCATCTAAGTACCATTCCACAGCATAAGAAAGGAGCTTTAACATCACAAGCATTATATATTCAAATAGCCCATGATAACTACTAGCTTCTTGTTTATAGAATGGTTTATTGTCAAAGCCTTGCTCTTTATTTATGCATTTAATTATTTAAGTATATGTTTTCCTCTTACTGAATTTCATCTTGATACTAGCCTCTTCTTGGTATTTTTAGTTCATCTTTGGTCATCCAAAGTTATTTCATCTCTCACCAAGGTATCACTAATACCATGTAAGTAAATATCCTCCATGCTCCATAACCCCTCTTAATAAAATACTGAACAGAAACGAAGCCAGAAAAGATAACAAAATGAGTTCCTGTGTTAGTTGTAGAGGGGCCCATAGACAACCATTGCTGGGAAAGCTTTTCAACCACACAGATTTCTGCTTAATGCTAATTTCACTTGTCTGGTTATGCAGATGACGTAATTAATTTTGAAGGAAAGAGCACGCCTAGCTACAGATTACTCCTTTGTGGATGAAGAGAGTATGAGAAAGTTAGCTGCTGTCAGCAGAGTAATTTTCAGCAGCACAGTCCTGGGGCATTCTTGCTTGAACATCGCTCAAGCACAGCAGGAAAAACTGTGGGTCAGGCAAGTTGTGCTGGCTGCAACCACTTTCCTGAATCCAGCATTTTTTCTAGATGTCTCTCCCCTACATCCTCACCTGGCAGGTGATACAGGTCACATGAGGCACAGTCTCAGAGAGAAACGGTTAACTTCCTCAGACTGGCCATTTCATTATTTGTTCAGCATCTTTACCAGCATAGTAATAAACTTTACAAAGTTCTTTTCCCATCATTTTTGGGACAGAAGAACATTATAGAATCATAGGATTGCCCAGGCCGGAAGGGACCTCCAAAGGCCATCTAGTCCGACCCCCCCGCAGTCAGCAGGGCCACCCCCAACTAGACCAGGTTGCCCAGGGCCTCATTGAGCCTCTCCTTGAATATCTCCAGGGAAGGGGCCTCAACCACCTCCCTGGGCACCCTGTTCCAGTGCTCCACCCCCCTCACAGTGAAGAACCCTCTCCTCATCTCCATTCTAAATCTGTTCCCCTCCCGCTTGAAGCCATTGCCCCTCGTCCTGTCACTGCAGGCCTTTGTAAACAGGCTCTCCCCAGCCTTCCTGTAGGCCCTTCAGGTACTGGAAGGCTGCTATTAGGTCTCCCCAGAGCCTCCTCTTCTCCAGGCGGAACAACCCCAGCTCCCTCAGCCTGTCCTCGTAGCAGAGGGGCTCCATCCCCCTGATCATCCTTGTGGCCCTCCTCTGGACCCACTCCATCAGGTCCATGTCTTTCCTATCCTGAGGGCTCCAGACCTGCACCCAATACTCCAGGTGAGGTCTCACCAGAGCAGAGTAAAGTGGCAGAATCCCCTCTCTGGACCTGCTGGCAACGCTTCTTTTGATGCAGCCCAGGATGGGATTGGCCTTCTGGGCTGCAGCTGCCCACTGCCTGCTCATGGCCAGCTTCTCCTCCACCAGCACCCCCAAGTCCCTTTCCTCAGGGCTGCTTTCTAATACCTCACCAGTAGTTCTCCAATCCACTAGGGGTTCTCCAACAAAACACAGACATCTAGCCAAATGTCTGCATCTCAGCCTTTGCTCCTAACCCCTCAAATTCTGTTATGTTCCAAAATCCACTTAGATTAATTTTTTTTTGTTAACATTACAGCAACAGACAGTACTTCAGTCCTTGCTGTATCACTCTACCACTCGCTATTGGCTTGTTTGCTCTCAGGTAATGCAGCTGTAATCCTACTGCCTCCTTCCCTTACTTCTGTCTCTAGTGATTTATAGAACTTTACCCATTGCTCTTAGCATCCTGTGACAGTCCATCTTGCATCTTAGCACTTCTGCCTCAGCCTTTAGAAGTCTGTACTACTCTCCTTATGCTGGTATCTTTTTTTTTTTTTCTTTTTTGGTGATTACTTTTGACTTTGAGATCACTATGTGGCTTCTTGGGCCCGATACTGGCAATACCTCATCTTTCCTTTACATTGGATTATTTGCCATCATCTTCTATTTGTTTTCTTTCAGCAGGTATGGAGTTTCCAGAAACTTTCATTGCCTGGAAAGCAGACAGCTTTGACATTCAGAGATCTCATTCCTCACACTTGAAATATGTTCAGGTCTTAATCTGCAGCTGCACTTACTGATTTCATTCATAAAAGGAGAGTTCATGGTTTTGAGTGTTTTTACTCCTCTTTATTTCTATTTTATTAGCTGTTCCTTACTGTAAATATTTCAGAAACCAGTGGAAGTCCAAAATACTTTCTAGGATCCTACTGCTATCCATATTGCCACATTTATTTTTATTGAGAGTTCATGGCAAATAAAGGATGCTGTTATTAAGTTCAGTAGCTACTTCTATTAGTTAGCTGAGCTGCAGTCATTCATCCAGTCCTGATTGCATCTTCACAAGCCCCCATTGTGACACTGTCCCATTTCTCACGTGTTCTCTATTTTTAGCCAAAATCCGGCTCTCTGTTCAGTTTGAACTTGTGAATATGCCTGACACATACAAAACATACTGCTTTTTTGCCTTTACCTGGTCTTCCTGAAAAGCCATTCTTCCTCGTAATACTTCAAACTGATTCACATAGTGATGGATTGTTCAATTCAGTTGGCATTTAATGCCAAGTTTCTAATACCATTTCAGAGAATGAATAATTTGCCACCAACCTCAGGAAGGACAGTCATGAAAAGGATTTATAAGACAGCATATTTCTCTTGTTTACATTAGATTTCTATGAGATAGGGTACAGAAAATCCCAGAAGTATAAATGCATGCAACTTCCTGTCTGTATTTGTCTAAGAAAACAAGGAATTGTAAGTGTTGCACCATGCCTTTTGAACCTCTGATGCATGTATATAACCATTTGCTCTTCGGTTTATAAGAGGTCATGCTTGTTGTAACACAGAAATGCCAGCTCCAGGAACTGAAATGTACTGTAATTCTGAAGCTTCTAGAGAATTACAGCACAGTAACAAAGTAAAAGTTTAGATGTAGACTGAGAGATGAAAAAGATTCAATCAGTGGCACAAAGGAAAAATAAAGTTCCTCCTTTTAAACAGAAATCCTAATACCTAAAAATCATTTTAAAAGCCAAACATTTCTGTCAAAGATTTGACCGCAAAGACTAAGGGCTTCACTTATAAGATCTAAATACCTATTCTGGGGCATTTTAGTTTTTGAAACTACTGGTCACCACACTAAAAGTTGATGCATGTAAGCTGGTTCTTGGCCTATATCTGACACAGCTGACCAAAACACAAACTGTTACATGACCTGACTTCTGAGATTTGATTTGAAATCCCCAGAACATCATCACCTCGAAAGAAGTTAGGCTTTTGCCAATACCAAGTCATTCCTCAATTTAGGATAGATTGAATTAAAACACAAAAATTTCTTCAGAAAGGAATCCCTAAACTAATTCCTATTCAACAATCTGTGGTAGTTTTAGACTGCACCGATGTTTTAAAGGTAACCTAAAAGACACCTAAATGGGTCAAACCAGGAACCCAGAGAAATATCTAAGTTCAAGCCCATATTAAACATTTCAGCAGAATTAAGTTCTTAATTGTTTAGGCACACTGATCCAGGGAGAAGAAAAGGTATACCAAAAATCCCTTACTATGGGTGAAAAATAGGGAGTGTTAAAAAGCTGCAAGCTCAAACATGAAGGAACAGAGTAGAAGAAAACACGTTTAACTCGCAGAGAAAGATTATTCTTAGGAGTAGAGAGTAGGACACAGTGTAATTCTGCTTTTCTGCTTCAATGCTTCTATAAAAATAATGGCAAATGGGATAGCCAAACAGTATTTACCCATTAAAAACCTTGTGTTCTTTAGAGAAATGTTATTTGTTTTCTAGTGTTCTAAAAATGGTAAGTTGCTGAACCAGAATGCCTATTTACCTGGCGTCTCTGTCTTCAGCTTTAAACATATAATATTTCCACAATTAACTTCAAAGACACAGAAAATAACTGAAGACTGACCAACATACAAAGATTTATGTTCACGAAACTTCAGTTTTATCATGAAAAAAACAGAGTCTTTTACACTGAAAAATTATTGGATCATTCCTGAAAAACCATGGACCCCTAGTTGTATTTGCATGCAGGGGATACAACTATTAAAGAGTTAATTTCCTTTATCACATAGATTAGGAATAAATATAAAATATGAAGCACATTAACAACTTCAGATGAAGAAATACCTTCTTTACACTAGCTGTAGTTATTTCATGTATCTTTGAAAAAAATGGGGAAACATTTTTTATTCATTAATATGTTTTCATTAATATAGTGTGTGTTTTAAATGCAGTAAAAAAAAAAAGCAAGCAAATAAAAAAGCGACAAAAATGTGAGACACAAAGGAAATGAAACATGAAAGAGATATTTACCAGTGTAGAATTCTCACCTTGTCATTCAGCCTGGAGAAGTCAGTGTACCGTCTGAAAACCACCCAACTTTCCTCTGGACTTCTTTTTACCAGTATTTTGTATACCTGTGTGGAAAAACAGGAATATCAGAAAAATATTCAGAACTTCACCCTTCCAGCCAATGCAGCCTGATATTATCCTTTATTTCTTAACAAAACAAGACTCGTGGATAAGAAGAGAATCCTTAATTGGAAGGTGGGGTTTTTTTTAAGCTTAATTATCAGTACAAACAGTATAAATTAATTTCAGAATTTAAGGCAGGAGTCTCTATAATTCCTAAATCTAACTATTTTCTGACTGTAAGAAAGGGTTTGTGAAACTGCATCCAGGTTTCTTTCCCAGCAAAAACCAATTCTCAATTATCAAAGAGGTAAGTGAAGTATGTTCCAGTGATCCACTTTAATCTTTGCTGAATTATGGTTTTATTCATCAGTCCTTGAGGCTAATTTGTTTTTAAGATGACTGTAATAACCAGTTACTGAGTGTTATATTGTTTTGAAATGTCTCATCTGACTTGGTTCACAAGGAAAAGTGATGCAGGATAAAAATCACATCCTCCTTAGGTTTCATTTGTCTTGAACATTAGGTTTTGTCTTTCCAGACAGAATATGACTATTTCCCTAGATAACTGCATCAGAACAATTACACTGGCACTGTAGAACTCAAGTAATGGATCCTTTGAATCAAGATTTAGCAAGCCAACAGGACAGCAGTACCATTCTCCTATTTAAAAGGAAATGGATAAATAAATAAAACAATAACAGCAATAGTAATAATTAAAGAATAAAAAAATCAATTACCTTTTAGGAGGACTAATACTCTAATGCCTGAACACAATGAATCTAACAACACAAAATTTTAACTAGAAAATATTACATAGTGTCTAGGAAAGAAGGGTTCTTATTTCACCAACCTTACTTTTTCCAATATAAGGAAAAAAAGGCTGTCCAGTTGTACTGGGTTAGCTTTCACAGTCTAGGTGTTCTCTAGTTAAATAAAATACAAGGAAGAAAAAGATACTTTTGGAATCATAGTGATAAACAAACCCTTATAGGCATTTAACCAAATTCTAGTTAAAACATTTTCTAATCTGTTACATAGTAAAATCTTTCCCAGTATTTCAGAGCAGGTTGTTTCAGTGGTAACTGTATTTCTTGTTGCAGCCCCAGCATGTGATAACTGCAGAGACAGCCAACTTCTGTACCTTTTGTATTCTATAGTGTATGAAGTTGCAGACAGTTACAGAAGGCACAGATAACCATGGTGCAAATTAAAAGCCATTTTTCAGAAAGTATTTCTTTTATCTACTTCCTCAACACAGAATTTCACTTTCAAGCAGCAGCATCTGTAGAAGCCACGTACTGTAACAGGGGCAGTATTTCAGTCATGAACAAAAAGCTGTTTGCTTTTAAAATTCATGCCGCCAGACATGCCTGTGAAGCCAACATTAAAATGTAATTCTTCTGTCCTACATTTTCTGCATAAATGATCTCCAAATGTTTTCGCTTTCTTGTCATATCAAAAGTATGAACAGAATTTTATTTTACAAAAATTTCATAAAGCAGAATTGCTATATAAAATTGTGAAGACTCTTTGCTAGTAAACAGTAAGACACAGAACAAGCAGCTCTGGAACATGCTTGCTGATTTACTTACTGATCAGTCTTCTATCATATTCTTTGATTCTACTAAAAGTTCTGCAAAGATATTGCTTACAAATGCTCATGTGAAAAAACCAAGTTGGTCTGACCCTCACTTTGAATGGTTTCCAAGTAAATGTTAGAAAACTCTAAGAAATAAAGTCTTTACAAGTTATGGTTCTACGGAGCACAATCAGCTTATGTTTACCAGCCAAGCAAAAAAAGAGAAAAAAAATAATATGGCCAACCTGAAACAAACATTTTTGGTTTTCTTGCAAATTTTGAAAAGCGTTTTGGGTTTGATTCTTTTTCTTTTTAAGATTTGTAATTAGTAAACTAGAAAAACTAGATCATTACAAAGTCAACTATTAGTTCCTTCACACAATGTTTCGGGAAAAAACCGCAAATGAATTCAACAAATCCAAGCAATTCCAGTCAATCCTGAATTGCCTTATTCCACAAATACAAAATATTGAATGAAAATATGCCAATATTTAATAACAATCTCTAGCTGATTCAGCATCTCATTATCATTTCTAGTTGGCTTAAAAAAAAAAAAAAAAAAAAGCAGCACTAACTGAACATTCCAGGACTGCCAACTCATTTGAGACCAACTGCTTATAAACAGAGATGTTTTTCAGCCTAGGCTTTTTCTCCCAGCAGCATGTACTCCAACACACATTAACATTTAACATTTAACTCCTGAAGTTAGTACATCACCCAGCTTAAACAATTCAGATTCATATTTTTGGGAACTCTGAGATGTGCTGACAAGCAGTAAAAAAACTTCAGCAATTGAGTCTCCCCTTCTATAGACGATTTCAATTTAAATTTCCACTGTCTTCCATCTCACTGACCTTGTGTTGCAGAAGCAACCAAAATTTCTAGGACTAATTACTTGCTGGTTGTAATGCACAATGGCAAGCTTATGTTCAACACGCAACTGAAAACAAACAGTTAATTATGTGCTTTCAGAAACACACAGAGCAACAAAAGGAGCAAATTCAGGAAGACCAAAAATGCAGCCAAGCATTTTAATGGTGAAGAATGTTCCATTTGTACTGTAACCTGGCCTTCTCCATAAATACACAACTTGGACTCCTTATTTTAACTGCAGTTGAAGAACACCTTACACACACACTGGAATAAGCCTTGGCATATTTTCAGACTAACTTATATCAATATAACAATACTAGTAATTGTTTTAGTTTTGAAGGTATTATTTAAAAACAGTCTTTTAATCTACATGTAAAAGCATTTCGGTTCTTCTTTTAAGCTACCGCACATGAAGATACCTTGTCTAAGTTTTTCATTCTCAAATAATTAAAAAGCAGCTCTGTTTCATTCTTTTCATTGATTTTATTAGTATTTGAACTGTTATAAGGGTGTTAGCTTCCACACTTTTCTGGGAAAATAGGAGAAAATAGGGAAATAGGAGAGGAAAAAAAACATTGTCTGCTACTTCTTCCTTACCTATTTGTGATTAATGTTGCTCTCCTGAAGTATGATTAATAAATAATTAGTAACAAACAACTCCCATCACTCCCACAAGCATTGCTGAATTACCTCAAAGAAATGTTTCAACCACATCCACAAAAACAAATGCACAAATGCCTTAAATATATTTATGGCATGTAAAAAACTGAATTGCCAGCTACAGTACGTTTTGAGAAAACTCAATGCACACCAGTTAAACTGATGTTCTGCCACGAGATCCTGCGTGTCTGAAACCTCACTCTGATGGTTTCAGATCCCATTTCCCCTTATTAGAAACTAAACCCAGCAATGCAAGAAGCTGTAAACTACATTGGAGCTTTCGTGTGGATGTTGTATGTTATCAATAACTGTAAAAGGCAAATATCAGGGTGTCTTTTACAGAATCACAGAATCTTCTAGGTTGGAAGGGACCTTAAAGATCATCTTGTCCAACCATCAACCTAACTGACAAAAATAGACACCCACACAACAAACAAGGAGCATCATCACTAAACCAGACCTCCCAGCACTACATCAACCCGGCTTTTGAACACCTCCAGGGATGGGGCCTCAACCACCTCCCTGGGCAGCCCATTCCAATGCCTGATAACCCTTTTGGGGAAAAAATTTTTCCTAATATCCAGCCTGAACCTCCCCTGGGGCAACTTGAGGCCATTTCCTCTTGTCCTGTCGCCTGTGACTTGGGAGAAGAGACCGACCCCCACCTCTCTACACCCTCCTTTCAGGGAGTTGTAGAGAGCAATAAGGTCTCCCCTCAGCCTCCTCTTCTCCAGGCTGAATAACCCCAGTTCCCTCAGCCTCTCCTCATAAGACTTATTCTCCATTCATTTGAAATAAAAGACTACATTTTAAGATGTTTAACTATCCAGAACTTCTAGAAGTTCAATTTCCCAAGGAATTGTAACTTGGCAAGGAATTCCTGACTTTTCCAGCAGAAATTGATACCTGAAGTAGAACGAAATCCTTCTGTTCCACTTATGCACTTACAGGGAAGACTGCTTCTCAGTCTCAGTTTCCCCACCTGTACAATGATATTTTCCTGTCAGATGGCAGTACTTTGAAGCTAAACTGCTATTGGCAAAGTACTCCAACATCCCTGAACAACAAGGTTAACTACTGAAAAAGAACGCAAAGTACATGAAATCGTTATCTTGTCATTACAGGATGAACTAAAAACTCAATCCCCAAAACTTACAGTGAATTTTGCCCTTTCCTCCATCACTTCATAGCCCAGTATAGTGGGCGTGGATGGTCGATCTTCCCAGCTCCTGGAATCTGTATTCTGCTCTATGTCGTCCATGGGCTGAGTACAGTATTCCATGGATGTATCCAGACCTGTAAATTTAGTCCTAACAAGTGGACTACCACACACAGATGACGTAGAACCAGTCTGGTCAGGCACGCTCATCTTTTTAAAACTCCCAATTGTAGAGTCCTCTAGCTGTCCTTTTGAGGAGCTGGAACTCGTGGAGATGCTCCCAAAAGAAGAACTTCTTTGGTTTCTGTTTGTAAAGCTGGATGATGAACTTCCAATAGGAACAGGAACGTATGGTGTTGCCATCCTTCATGGAAACAACCTCAGTTTTTGGCGCAGGAGTTTAAGGTTCATTCACTGTACAAGCCATGATTTCTCATCTTGTCAAGAGCACAACCTGCAGTGAAAGACAGAGAATGTTTTCACTTTTAAGTGAAAGCAACAAATTTGGAAGAATCTATATCAGCATTGAGATATAGCAGTATTGACAGTTAAATATTTTCACGAGGAATTTGGCTTCACATAAAAGCTGCTTTACAATTGTATCTCTACAATTTGAGACAAGCTTTACAGGAGTTGTTTTTCCAAGCTATTAAAATTAAAATGAGAGAAAGTTAAAGTAAGATTACAAACGAGAAAAATCGTTTTGTCCTTTGTGCTTTAAGTGCTATTTTGTTTTATTGAAAAAGCCAGCAATCTTTAGGCATACCTAAGAAGCTGTTGTATAAACAGTACAAAGGCTTGTCCCAGAATTGCTTCTGTAAAAAGCAGACTACATGAGCCAAACATGCATGTGACAATATGGATGACACAAAGCAAAAGACAACACAGTAAACAACTTAGGTGAAAACATATTTGCATATATTACATATTCACTGAGGTAGAGTGGATCTGTTTTCAAAGCAAAATATTGTTTCAAAATGATTTTTCAAAACAACTCTGTTGCACATAATGCTATAGACATTCGTAACCCTGTTAACTGGGCACATTTTCCATAGCTTGAATAGGAGCAACTAAGTCTTACAAGCACGCACATCAAAAGCAGGGTTTAATAGCAATTAGTTTTCCCTTCCAGCAGATTAAAATGGGAAAAGCAAGTTCAGGGCAGGAAGATAAACAAAAGATTTGATTTTTTTTTTTCTTCAAGAAAACCATTTCAAGCCAAAATTAATCTTTTGTGTGCACATTTCTAAAGAAAGCAAAAAATTAAGACAGCACTATCAAACTGCCAAAAAAAGGCATCATCTCCCAAAGAAGGGCTCTTATATGATACAAATTAGATGCCACCTCTTTGGATTAATAGGAAGTGAGTCACCACCTCTTCCACCCAAGAGTATCCCAATCAACCACGAGGCTGCAGGTGGCTGTGAAACGGGAAACCATCGACCTGATTCAGGTCAGATATATAATCAATCATCTGTGATAATGTCATTATAATACCAAAACACACCTCCAACCTAAAAGCTACCTGCCTCCAAGGTGCGACCACCCTTCACTGAGTCTGCGCTCTGAATTTTTCTTAGTCTATACCTTTAAATGCAAAACAAGGACATTTTACACCAATCATAAAAAAAGAGGCATGTATGACTTGAGTCACTCAAGCTCCACCTGCAAGGTAAAAAGTAGTATAAAGATGGCTTAAGAATGGAGGGATGTTAGGGAAAATACCATCATAGACAAGTCAGGATGACACCATCATGGACTATCACTGGCTTCTGGGACCAGTCAAGGGGCTGAGCCTCTCTTCCCCCCCCAGTAGGGACACCTATTGGGTGAGATCCACACACTTGTGGATGGAGTGCTTCCCTGGGAAACAGAAATCTCTATATAGAGTTGTTTTATGCTGCTGTATTACTTGCACGTGCGTTGCAGACAGTGCATTATCACCAATCCAAAAGAACCTGTGATTCTGTTGCCTCAATAAACTGCACCACACGTTAATCTGGCCGTGAGAGCTCTCGTGCAACGTGACCAAACTCCTGAAATCTGGCCATGCTAGTTCTCTCAATGCAGCTAGACAGAAGGTGCATCACACTATTGTGCATCCCTAATCGTGATAGTTCAACACATTGAACGTGACCAAGATGTAGCACCGAATTGGGCATCACTCGGACTCCAAACCCAGCCGCCCCCAGCCCCTCTGATATCTAAGGACAAGCTGGAACACAAGGGGGTTTATTTTCTGCCAAATTCCTTCTCCCGTTAAGGCAACATCATCTACTGGAGCAAAACCCAAATGTGTTTCCTAATTACCAGGGTGAAGCGATGCTTTCACTCTCTTGCTCTAAATAAATCTTAGAGAACATGAATAAGGAAATGGATATGAAATGAACCGGCACCAGCAAGAAAGACTAAAAAATGCCCTTGAAAGAATTCCTTCAGCGAAGGGGAAAAAAATCCCCAAACTTCCCCATCCTTTCAACTACACAGGGAAATCTCCACACGTTCAGTATGTCACAAAGCTCAGGGAACTTGATCACTGAGAACAATTTCAAACTGGCAGTGACTCCTTGGGAGCACCTCTGCCTCACCATGGGGGGAGGCTGGACACTCGGCAGCAGAACTGTCAGGATCATAAACCCCTCCTGACTGATTTTGCTGGTCAGGTGCAGCATTTGGACCATCCAGCAGCTTCTACTGCAGCACAGTCCTAGGCTTGGTTGTGTGACTTAACCCCAGGTGTCAGACAGCTGACCTGCTTCACATCACTTGAAAGCAGCAAGTCACACCTGTCTTGGGAGACAGGACATTCTCCTGGAGCTACACCAAAATTTAAATCCCTTTTCCCACCTGATTCTCAGTAAGAGCATCTGTTTTCTGCCTCAAACAATAAACGTTTTTAATAGAGGTAGAAACACCACGACTGGAGTATTCTCTGCAGATTTTCTCTAGTGATATTCTCAGCATGAAACACTGAACAAGGTAACTCCTTTTTCACTTGCCACTTCAGTGATTTTTCCATGTTACCAGCATAAGGAATTAAGAGCATCCCCTTAAAGGATGCCCCACCCAGCTACGCTCCTGGTAAGTGTGAGATTAAATCCTTATAAACAGAAAAATCCAATTGAGTCCATGTTTTGAAACTGAAGGATCAATTAAAAAAAAAAAGTTATCTTCTGCTGTGTAACTTATGAAACTGAAGCAGGAAAGAAAAGTAGGCCCATAAATTCACCCAGGTGTTCAGGGAATTTCGAGAAGAAAAAAGCGCCTGTGCTTTTCAGCACTTTTTGGAAAAAAAAAACCAAACAAACAACCACAAAACCAAAACCCAGTCACAAACCACAACATTTTCACCAGTTACAATACTTACGAACACATGTCTTTTCTAGGACTTCTTTCTTTAAAGTGAAATGCCAGTCAAGAACTTACACGCTTCCTACCACTCTAAAATGCACACGCATTTACACACTTACTACTGCTCTTAAATGCACACTCATTACTGCAAGGCTGTGGCACTATGCACGAGCAATGCAGCTCAACAGTGCTTTCCAGCCAGATCTGTAAAGCACTTGGTGTTAAGAACCCCACATCCACACCATACATGCTTCAGCAGCTTTTATGTTAAACTAGCAGTAATTTGGCACTGACTGAATGCTTATTAGCAGCTGGACTTCATTAGGTCTGCTCCCAGGGTACACTTTCTGGTTCAGTTTCTTTCGTACTCTGCAAGAGGATCACAATATCTGCTTCGAAAGGACATTCTCCACTCAATCTGACACAGAAAACATACCTATAGATAAATAAAAAGGGGCTCATAGTACCAACGGTACAGCCAGATTCCTGCAGCTCTGAAGAGAAACAGGAGCATCAGGTCAAGTGAGCAGAGAGCATATCCCACGTCATTTAATTTGATTTTTTTGTGTGTGTCAAGAAAACAGAAAAAGAAACATATAAACATATTACATTAGAGCCTACCAGACTCATAAATACATATTTATGTATGTAAATCCACCTTAAACTGTAAAGGTACCACAATTTCCAAATATCTAGAATAATTACATGCTATGAATCACAACCAGGTTTAAAAATCACATTAATTTGCACTTTATAAAGGCTAAACATCAGAAAAAGAATACAACACTCAAAGGAGGGCCATAACACTCAAGCTTTTTTATGAATATAGAAGTTTACTGCCAATTCATGCAACAGAAGTAAGAGAAAGAAATCTGATAAAACACTTTTAGACAAACCACACCACTCATTGCTTATACTGGTGCAGCCAGGAGGGAAGATTTAGGCACAGAGTCTTCTACTAACCAAGGCTCATTGCTGACTGGTCTCATGTATCACTGTGTTAAACCAGGAGAATCATTGCACAACATCAGTTTTCAGAACAAACACACCACTCACAACACCTAAGAAACAATCCAGTCTCCACACTCTTCCCTGTCTAAATATCTGCTTTACTTTTTATAAGAAATTAGTTTCCTCTTTAGAACCCCGTATTTAGTTTAGTTTGGTTCCCAACTGTAAATTACAGTGAAATAAAGAAGAGGAGAACATTTGCTGGAAGTACTGACCGGCTAAATCTGAAATGGGACAGGACAGAGTCCCAGGAACCCTACAGTCACATGCTACAAACCAGCATGACACTAACTTACCCTCCAGGGTGTTTACAACAGCCACCTCCCCTTTTTTGCAGGCGAAGCAAATAGGCTATAATAAAACCACTTAAAAAAGGGTTTGCCTTCAGCTTGCAGCTATCGCAGCTCCAAGCCCTTTTAAGCTAATGGTTTGTATGTTTAGTGAGAAACAGGTAAGCCATGCAATTCAAGGATAATAGATTAGAAACCAAACAATCCGTGTTTAACAGTTCTAATTGGATTTAGAAGACTTTTAGCTCTGCCATACTATCTGTGGTTTCGCGTGGTGTGTCTCTGTTTGGAGGACACAGCTGGGCTCACCTCTGCCGCGGAGGATTTCTGGAGGATTTCGGCGCTGCCGTGGCACGCCTGCTGAGGAACCAGTGGGCTATTGATTAAAGAGACAATTCGCTGGCTTGGGGCTTACAAAACTTTTACAAAAAGGGCTACCGTTTGGCCCCGGCTTCGCTCAAGTTACTTAATGATGTGTTTCACCTGTTTACGAACTCGAAATCGGGGCCTATTTATCAAACCTCACACTCACTCACACACACACGGGGGGGAGGGCAATTCCTGCCCTGAGGAAACTGTCACCACATCGGAAACAACTCCGAAGGGACCCCAAATATTCCACGGGGAGACGCGCTTACGCTGCTTACCTTTCCCTGCGGCTTAACGGTGCTGAAACACGAAAGGAAAACCACCCCCACACCCGCCCCGTGGCGATCTCTCCGCATCCCGCCGGTAGGGCCCCGGTGGCTCCGCAGGGGACCCGCCGCAGGCCCGGGCCGCGGGGGCCGCCAGGTGCGGAACTTCAGACGGCGAGAGGGGCCCGGCAACCCTCGCCCCCTCACGAAGCTTCGGGCAGCGGCTGAGGAACCACCCCCCTGAGGTGAGGAAGGCGCCTTCCCACCCCGGGGAAAGGGAGTTCCGTCCCCGCCGTCCCGGCAGCGGGACCGGCCCCCGCCTCGCCTCGCCTCAGCGACGCGGCCCAACCGCCCGCCTCCGCACAGGTGGGCGGGAGATGCGCCACCGGCCGGCGC